AATTCAAAGAATCTAGATGCTTCTAAGAAACAATACCTCTTGATAAATACTAGTTTTCTCTATGCTCAACACAGATTACAGGATGAGTTACAGAGAGTCCAGTCAAACCTTGATAGACAGACAGAAGAGAGTAGAATGATGGAGGAGAGATGCCAAACATTAGTATCAAGAGCCAGGAAAGAATTATCAGAGAAGACAGCAGAAGTAGAGGAATTTAAAACACAGGTTGGTGTAAACTTCTCTTGCCCACAATAAAATCATACATCCTGATACTGTAGTTACATTTATACATCACCTACTAATTATAATTCAACAGTACTTATGTTACTAATGATTCATTCTTTTATTGTGGATCCATAAAAATTGTGGGTGTGTGATTACTTGGATACTTCAACACTGGTGATTTTTTTCATGAAATTCAATTAACTATTATTGATTTATATCAATTAGCTTACAAAAAATAGAGTAATATGATATTTTCTGTAATAGAAGTGCACTAGACCAAAAAGGGTATTTTATTATATACTGGATTATTGAAATATGAATTGTTTTGACCACAGACACAGCCCAGAAATGTATGTAGGGTATGCAAAATACCTTTCAAATACCTTTCACAGTAATGTGAAGAAACAACTAATTAACAGATTTCAAAAAAAATAGTAGCCTGTTCCAGGTGTAACGTGATTAATGAATCACTCAATCTTCTATTGCTTAAAGCTACTAATATTCAATTTGGTATTGCATGTGCCTCTGCGCAAAAGTATGTATGATTTTCTTGTTTCATCACTTGTGGCAGTTAGTAGTTGCAATTTCTTATACTACATGTATAATAGAGCTTGAACTTTGGAATTGTGAAGGCACCCATTTTGTTGAAAAATGCCTTGGTCACATTAAAATTGTGAATATTTAAGGGCATCAAAGCAATTTCCTTCATGGCCATCATGAATTTGGAGCCCTCTATGCATAAAGCATTAGTTGATAAAAACTTTTCTAACTTCACATTTTGATAGGTTGTAACACCACAGAAGATGGAGCTAATGAGACTTAAGATTGCAGACGAACTTGAACACCCATACAGAGAAAGACTTGGCAGAATGGATTCTGAAGTGGAGAAGTACAGAAGTGATTTCAACAAGCTGAGATATGAATACTCATTTTTGAAGCAGGAGTATGAACATGAAAAAGCAGAAGCAAAAAGGATGATGGATGAAATGAAGATTCAGTATGAAACTGAGGTTTGTATAAAAAAAAATACATTTTGGCCTATAGAGGGCACTATTTACGTGGTACCGTACCATTGCTTTTTGTTGCCTGAACACAGGGTTCTCCCCAGGGCTTTTTAGCGCCGAGGTCCGCGGCGCTATACCTGTGAATCTCGGCGCTTCACTTGGGACCTCGGCGCTATGTGTTCCCACCTCGGCGCTTGATTTCATATTTGACATGCCAATATCAGATGTGAAAAATCTTTGTTCGCCACGTCGGTCGGCCCCGACCGTCACTCAAAATTAGTGACCACCACGGAAATGCTTCCGACGAGGACTATTGTCTGATTGTTAGTATAATTACGTACCGACCGACACGCATCCTGTCAGTCGTGGATTATAATTTATAAACAATATACGATACGTGGCGGCTAGTCAAATTTGTGGAATTAGCACCTCTTTGTTTGTAAGTAAATACTTTCTGCGATAGACACAGTCTTTAGATTGAAAGCTAAAATTATTTCAAAATCAATTCCACCTCGATATAACATGGTCAAATCGGAGTTCACGATCAGTTCACGCTACTCAAGAAAAAAACAACGTGTTTATTGCGTGATTTGGTAAAATACATTTGAACTGTTATCATTGCGAATCATGTAAAAACTCTTCTTTCAAGACCTAATTTACCTTTTAAAAATTGCAAATCACCTCTTTCGAAAGCTGTCATGCAGTTTTCAATTGAAATCGATGCCAACACATCGTGCTACGACAGTGTAGGAAATTTGTCCAGATTACATACCAGACATCAGGGCTGGTAACTTTCAAAAGTTACAAGCCCTGCTAAAATGTTACCAGTCCCGCACATTTTTTCAATTATTTTCGCACACACACACACACAAATAAACACAAGTTGTATACAATATACTATGCACGGTTTATTTTAACAACAAAGTAGCTGTAGAGAACATGCATATCAGAACATGAT